AGGAAAATGTACACATGAATGGGTGGAAACTTACAGGATTCAACGATGTGACCAACATTAGTGACTGCAAACCCATGCATTTTCCATACAGAAAGAGCATAAAATTAATTAGCCATGGGGTCTAGATACGGAATACTAAAAAGTTCTATATTCTTCACCAAGAATAAACTGACCTCATGAAGTAACTTTGAAATTCTTTCCCTATTAGCTTGGATTCCTCTTACACAGTTCTTTTCAAAGGAAGCTGATGCATCCCCAAGCAATCTCACAGACTGCCAGTAAAGAGTTAAGAAAACACCAGCTCAATGAACAAGTGCATGTATTTAGCAATATAGCAGAACAAGAGACTCCAAACTCAGTAAATCATAATGCATCCACGTATGTGATGCTTTACAAAAATATTGTACCCACCAAATTATGTTCCAATTCCAGTATCCACATCTTGAGAAGAATCACATTTGGTTCTTTCTCAATTTTAACACCTAATGTCCACATAATATTCCAAATCTTCAAACAGATTCTATCATAACTCTTTTGCATTTCCTCCAAAGGTGAACTTCCAGACTAGTGACTTTCTTAACAAAGCACTATCTACGGGCAAGAAATGTGTGTGTACCTAGTTGCTACCAGTTTTACTTCTGAAATCTCTGTACATACAACATTTGAAGAACAAATCATAACAATATTACAACAGAACGTACATGTAGGAGACCACTAGCAATCATTGGCTTGAATACATTAAGTTCAAAGTGACCATTTGATCCACCTACTGTAATGGCCACATGGTTACCAAAAACCTGCACGACATACAAAAAATTAAAATACCATTTCATAACGAGAAAAACTTTAAATAGCAGGATTACAATATCCTAACATCATACAACAACTTACTAAGGACTTCCCAATTGTTCATATTATCTTGATGAAACAGAACAGGAGACACTTTACCTGAGCACAGACCATTGTGAGAGCCTCACACTGAGTAGGGTTAACCTTCCCCTGAAACAGGATAAACTCAGTCAAGATGTCAAGTTTAGTGGGACTTAATTTGTACAAAAAGCTAATTACAGGTTTTGGGCTATTCAGTCAAACATATGTTGGGCAAGATATGAGAGTTTTACAGGCATAATGCTGCTGCCAGGCTCATTTTCAGGGAGAATGAGTTCACCAAGGCCGCAACGTGGACCACTATACAAGAAAAGCACTGTGAAGTTCTTATAACAAGGGTACAGGGAGTGATGAAGAAAAAGCAGGTGAGGTCCAAATAGTAGACTAACCTTCCTAATAAACGTATGTCATTTGCAATTTTCATCAGAGAAGTAGCAACTGTATTTAGGGCTCCGCTAGTTTCAACAAAAGCATCATGTGCAGCCTGGCGGAAACAAATAACGTACAGCATGCAGTATTAGTTTGTTGTATACGATGAAAAAATATGTACCAACTGCTCCATCAAGTTAAATATCCCTTCCACTAGAAGAAGAAAGAAGAAGATATCATTTAGTGTAGCTACGAACCAAAGCTTCAAACTTGTTTTCGGCGGTGACAAATGGTAAGTTTGTTTCCTCAGCTACTGCCGCAGCTATCTTTACATCAAATCTAGATTATGGCAGGAAAATTACCAGTCAGTTTCATACAATGTGGATCACCCTGGACCACTGAAGAAGAAATTGCTCATTTAAAATATGGGAGATGACGAAATAAATGCAAATGCCAAAACACAAGAAATTTACAACGAAAGGTACAGTCTTTTCAAGTTTTAGTAATAAAATACAGAGCATACATCTTTCTATCTGATACTAATTCAGGAGTAATAAATAGGCAAAGGAATGGTGAATAAGATGACCTATTGAAGAAACTTAAATCTTGAAATATCAGTGCAGGAAAAAGAAAAAAGATGAATTGAAATGAAACCAGGACTCCCATAATCGAAGTTACATTTTAACACGAATGCAGACAAACGTAAAATGATAAAAACAAGGAAAAACAAAACCCAAATATTCTTCAACCTTAAGGCTATTCATACCCCTTCTTTGTGTTCAATCCAGTCCCAACAGCAGTACCACCCTGTGCAAGCTGCTCAGACAAAATTACCAATCAGTCAGAATATTTAAAAGAAAAAATAAAAGGGGAGGATAAGCAACTGACAGTCATGAGTTGCCAACCTGATACATGCGGGGTAGAGTGCACAAGACTCGGTCAATTCCATACTTCACCTGCAGCCAAAGGAAAAAGCTTTTGATAAACAAGATATCAAGCACGGCCTATCCTCGTAACAGGATGAGTATGACGCAAGGGTGAAACAATATCTGCAAGAGTAATGTAAGCTCACTTGTGTTGAATAGCCACTGAATTCTTGCCCAAGAGTCAAAGGTGTTGCATCTTGCGTGTGAGTGCGTCCAATTTTAACAATATCTTTAAATTCATCTGACTGGTCATATTAAAACAGATGGAATCAAGAACAAGTTTTGACCCCTTTATGGGAAAATAATTCAGATACACGAAATATCTATCTGCTTTTAAAGGGTACCCAGAGAAATCAAACCTTTGAATGTAGAGAAGTATGCAATGTTTTCAAATTTGGTATTAGTCTTGAATTAATTTCCATTGCAGACGCAATGTGCATGACCTGTAAATAACACACAGCGTTTCAATAAACCGCAAGACAGGAAACAAAAATTACAAAAAGAAAAGAAAAGAAAGGCTTACAGTTGGAAAAGTGTCATTAGAAGACTGTGATCTATTAACATGGTCATTTGGGTGGACAATCTTTTCACCACGCTTATGGCCAAGTATCTCAGCTGCTCTGTTCGCAATGACCTGGGCACAGTCCAATAGTACCCCATAAATCAACGTATACAAGTAAGATAACCATGACAATACTTTCATGAATCAATGCAAACCTCATTGGCATTCATGTTACTTTGGGTTCCACTGCCAGTTTGCCATACAACAAGTGGAAAGTGCTGGTTTAGCTTTCCCTCGGCGACTTCTTGGGCAGCTTGCATTATTGCTTTGCCTATAGTTGGATCAAGACCATACTCCATGTTCACCTGCAATCAGGCAATACAACAAACACGTTATAGGTGTCTATCCCAATCCCATTCCGCAAGTCCAAAAAACAAAAGATAAAAGTTCAAACCTTGGCAGCACATTTTTTGAGTACGCCAAAGGCGCGAACAATAGGTTCGGGCATTCGTTCACGCTCGCCGCCGATATCGAAATTCTGCAACGATCTTTGAGTTTGCGCCCCCCACAACCTGAAAAAAAATAAAATTACGTATTAAATAAATAAATCCCTTCGAATTAAACATGGAAATGAAACAAATGCTGAGAACAGAGAAAGACGAACTTGTCTGAGGGAACGAGAATGGGTCCAAAGGTGTCTCTTTCCTCTCTAAACGACGTCGAATAGGGTCTCCAACAAGCAGCATAACGGAACGCCGTTGACGGCGTCGATCCACCTACTACTCGCCGCGATATGATGTACATCGCCATAAGCAGGAGCTTGGGCTGGAGAACGAGGCAGGACGCGGTTTGGGGTTAAACGAGTCAGTGATCGGAGTGATAGAGAGAGCGAGCGAAGTAGGGAATGGAAGTTGGGTGATTGGCTGGCTGAGTCCAAATGATTGGGCGGCGTGCCAGAAAGTGGGATGCTTTTGGACTGGTTTTTTTTTTAAAAAAAAAATTTGATGTAACAAACCCAACTGTCTGTTTCAACTTTCAACTTTGATGTCCTTATGTGGCTGCGCTGGGCCTCAAAGCCTTTTCTCGTTTAAATTTAAGATAAAGCAGTCGGAAAGGCATACAATGGGGTTCTGTTAAAAGTTTGAGCCCATGAAAGGCCCAATTTGGTTCCTTAGTAGGCTCATATGGGGCAGTCCAAGATGCATATTGCCCAATAAGGAACTACTGTCCTGTCCTGTGTGTGCAGCTAGGGTTTGATCGTCTAATAATAGTTCTGCAGTTAATCTGATAGCTATGAAGAACCCCTCGTGTTATAACCCCTCATTACAGTCTCTACGTAATTGTTTTAGGTTTGGTTTTGTGTTGGTAGCTGGAATTTTGGTTGTTGGGTTCCAATTCCCATTTGTTCTTTAGCTTGGAAGCAAGCAAGCAACCAAATTGAGTACGTATATACTCATATTCATTAGGAAAACAAAAGGTCTTGTCTTGGTTCTTCGCAGCAGAGTGCCAGAGAGAGGTTGTGACTTGAGACTTGAGAGAGTGCAAGAATTTGGCTAAGAAAGAAGTAACTTTTTCAATAAGTGGATCCCATCAGGTACAACTCGTACGAGGCCGGACCCCTCTCCCTGCAGTCTTGTTGCAGATCTGCTGCTGCTGCTGCTCAGGAACACTCACACTCACTCCACATAATGAGTGACAGACATTTACACAACTGGGCTCCATTTCAACGATAATCAAAGCAAAAGTTACGGTCTTTGAAATTAACTCCACATAATGAACGAAAACCAAGCCAACCAACCAACCAACCACATGACCCATGTGTTGCAATTTGTCCCTCTCACTCTCAGTCATCCTCACTCATCTGAGGCCAGGGGCCACTACTCAACTCACTCACTATAAGTATATACATATAAAACACAACAGCCGCATTAATTTGTTCCACTTCCACTTGAGAAACAAAAACAGAAAAGAAAAAGAAAAAGCTTTCAATTAAATTAAATCAGGTGGGGTAAAAGTAAGTGTAGTGAAGCTCGCTGCTTTACCTAATTATGTTCATTTGTTCATGTCGTTATATGAATTGATTACGATATATGTATCATGTAGTGGCTGTCTGGCCGTTTCTAGTTAGCAGCCAAACATGAAAATTGTGGGTGGCAGCTGGCTTTCTTTGTAATGTTCCTCCACAGACACAGTCCACTGCCGCGGGTTCCCCATGATTGTCTCCTTTAACCAAGGTTGTTTTGGTCAATACACTTGAATTAAAATCACTAGAACTAGAAGCATTTATCCTAGTATGTATCATCAGTAGTTATCCTGTCCTACTACTACTCGGATAAGATAAGCTCGAGCTTGCCTTCTACCAATTTGAAGCCAACTTGACAACTGTGATTCATGTAACTATACGTAACATGGTTGGCAAATTAATTAATTCATGATCCAGTAGCATAGCAGCAGCTCTGCAACAGTTGGCGTTGCAGATTTTTGGTAAAACAGTGTCACCGTCCGTGTGTGAGGAACGAGAGAGAGCACAAGGAGGTCAGGTAAGGGAAGGGAAGAAAGGGCTGAGTTGAGTGGGCCCACTGATGACGGCACAAGTGGTTGGGATCTGGCGCTTTGGCAAACTTGGGGGACGCTAGCCTTGCAAAATTTCAATATCGACACATCAATGACATGGTCCCTCCGCCCCCACACCACTAGTCTCTCTTCGCATGCCATGGCAAGTCCCCTGCCTCCTGCCTGCCTTCATTGTTCATTACATGAAGAAACCTTTGTTTATTCTTTCTATTGTTGTCATGAAACATTTTAGTAATTAATTACGAAGATTTTTATTTTCACTCTGTTTCTCTTAATTTAATGTATGTGATTGATTGAGGCTTCGGTGCCAAAATTGTTTGTGTCGGCAAGACATGATTCTATGTTGGGAATTGTATTGTAGATGGTAATTTTGTTTGTGAAGATTGCTTTTTTATTGTCAAGGATTTCCTAAAATATTATTCAGATTGCACTTTCCAACTTTGATGCGTCGAAATTGCTTTTTATTGTTATTGTTATGCAAAATGGAAATCAAGCAGCTGGCTTTTTCTTTTTTAGCTGTCGCTTTCTCTCACCACCCGTTTGTTTTTCTTCTCCTTTTGTTTTCATGTACATCATTGCCATTTTATAACACAAGCCTCTTACTTGTTCTTTTTTCCCTTCTCTTCCTCTTCTCCTTCTTCTTCCTTGGTTTCCTGACTGGGGTTTTGTTTTAGAGAGCCTGCTGCTGCTGTCTGAATTTGGTTCATTGCTGCTAAGTGGAAGAGTGAAGACTCATGAAGAGGCTAGTAAGTACGTTGGTTTTGATATCTAATGTTTGATTCATAAATATATTTACTGGTTTTTTATCTTCATCATCTGTGTGTCTGCGAAAAATTCTCTCTTTTCCTGTCTATTAGGCTTTTTGATCTAAAGATTGTATATGGGATTTACATTGGATGTTTGGCAATGTAAACTAGCTAATAGGTACGTGAACATCTGCTACGAGATTATTGAATTTTTAAACCGCCATTGCATCATCACCAAAAAGTAAAAAATAAATAAAAAGCTACAGACAAACATTCGAACTACACCAGGAAAAAAAAAAAGGTATCTCAGACATCAGCAGAAAGCACAATCTTAACACAAGACATGGTCTCCTACAGAGGGACACATTTTCAAGAGCAGAAACTGAAAGCCTAGTTTTTATTTATGAATTCATAATTCTTAGATTGCTTCTTGCTTTACCTGCATTCATTGTAGAATAGGGGTATAAATCTTGTTTTCCCCGGTTTGCATGCATCTCTTTTACTTCAAGTCTTTTCACCCAGAAAGTTTATGTTGTATCTCTTTTACTCTGGTATTCTCTTTCAATTGAGTGTTTTCTTGGTGTTCAACCAAGTTTGTTGCAGTATTTTTGTATCTTTTGTGCAATGAGATAACCAAATGTAAGGCATTTTCTGTTCTTTTACCATGATGTTATTGATATACAATATACATGCATCGTATATTAACTTTTCGGTTCTTGCGAATGGTGTGACCGGTAGGCATCTCAAACTTCCCAGTAACCTTTATTTCTTCTGTTTTCCTATTTTTCAGTTGGCTCTGGTTCTGTTTCTGGCATTTAGTAGTGCTGTTCAGTATGATGGAGAAGGAAAGAATGGACAATGTGAAAACAAGAAGTGTTTGGATCCCAGACCTCACAGCGTGTCACTCTTGGAGTTTGGGGCAGTTGGAGATGGGAAAACATTGAACACGGTAGCCTTTCAAAATGCTATTTTCTATGTCAAGTCATTTGCTGACAAGGGTGGTGCTCAGCTCTATGTTCCGCCTGGCAGCTGGCTTACTGGAAGTTTTAACCTTACCAGCCACCTCACACTCTTCCTGGAAGCAGGTGCCATCATTCTTGGATCCCAGGTTCACATATTGACACAAATTTTTCTCTGCTTTGATCTAAAAGAATCATTCTTACTTTTAAAAATAATAATAATAATAACAAGAGTGTATAAGACGCAGTGTCGGCAATGGTTATGCAGGATTACGCTCACTGGGATATTGTGAAACCTCTACCTTCTTATGGTCGAGGGATTGACTTGCCTGGTTGGAGATATCGTAGCTTGATCAACGGACACAATTTAAGTGATGTGGTGATAACAGGTGAGGATATTCATGCATAAATAGTTGTCTGTTGAGATGCATCCAAGTTCTGCCTTCCTCATGTAACTCTTCCATATTCAATAAATTTTACCAGGTGATAATGGAACCATTGATGGACAAGGTTCTGTCTGGTGGGAGCAATTTAATTCTCATGCCTTGAATTACAGCCGGCCCCATCTAGTGGAATTCACCGGATGTGATAATGTCACTATATCAAATTTAACCCTCTTGAACTCCCCCGCTTGGAACATTCATCCGGCGTACTGCAGGTACTGCTGGTAGCTTTTTAGGTCAATGTCACATTTCTTGTGTGTTCAACTGAACTGATATTGTTGATTATATGTTAAAATAATACAGGTATGTGCAAGTTCTGAACATAACTGTTCATGCTTCTCCTGCATCTCCATATACTAGTGGTATAGTCCCAGGTGTGTCAAACATTACTTTTCAGACCATTTATCTATTACTGCTTTATTTTTTCTGCGTTCCTCTCCCTGATCAATCTGTGTAGTTATTTATTTAGAGATTCAGCCCCTCATTGATGAGAAATGTATAGGTTCTTAGTTAATTTTTTTCTCTATGCTGAAGTTCTTGCATAGTTTTTGTGAAAAGTTTGAAGAGCCTAAATATCTTTTGCAATGTGCGTATAACCGTGACTTCAGATTCTTCGGAGAATGTTTGCATTGAGAACTGCAACATTAGTATGGGTCATGATGCAATTGTTCTTAAGAGCGGTTGGGATGAGTACGGAATTGCCTATGGCAAACCCACCAAAAATGTGCATATCCGGAGTGTTAACCTTCAATCCTCTTTAGGCGCTGGCCTGGCATTTGGCAGTGAGATGTCTGGAGGCATATCGAACATACTTGTAGAGCAGCTTCATCTACGTAACTCATTCATTGGCATTGCACTCAAGACAACTAGGGGAAGAGGAGGTTATATGAAAGACATAATTATATCCAATGTCGAAATGGAAAATATTCACTTGGCAATAGAGGCTACTGGTCAGAGTGGCTCACACCCTGATGAAAAATTTGATCCTGATGAACTGCCATTTGTTAAAGGAGTCACCTTTGAGAATATGGTCGGCACTAATATCACTTTTTCTGGGAATTTTTCTGGACTCGACAAATTGCCTTTCACATCTATCTGTCTCTCAAATATCTCATTCTCCATCACTTGGAATTCTTCTACCTCATGGTTCTGTTCCAATGTGATGGGTTTTTCAAAGGAGGTGTCTCCTAAACCATGTTCAAACCTCCGGGACTCAACTTTTAACTCTTCCGCGGCTTGCTTCTTTTCCTTATACCCATTCAACTATGCTACAGTTTTGTGAGATCATCATCAAAAAGACAAAATACCCGTTCTGTTCAATCTGTACATGAGATACCGTTTATACAGGAGATTTTCCAATAAAGCTCCAATTTATAATCTTCCATCTCTTCTCATACGAACAAGCATTCTCTGCCTTGCTACGAGATCTTCCGAAGTGATGTGTCATCCTGATAATACAGGCTCATGTAGAGCCTCATTTTTTCATTCGTGTGCAAGGAAATTTTGGTAGTGCAGTACAACTCAGATAGCTGTTGCTTCCATTGTTTTATTTTATTTTGGAATATCTTTAGTTACAATGTAAATTCATGTAATGTGGACTGTTACCAGATTAATCATTGATATTCTGGCAAAGAGAGGTTGTTAAGTTAAGTGACTGATGTGATTGAAATAATGAGTAATTGAAAAGGTTGATGTCTTGCTGATTAAGTCTGAGTTTGGTTATTTTCTGCCCTGGTCCCCCGGGCTGCTTATACAAGGATCAATTTCCATCCGTCGTTTTCTTCATTCTTGGTATATGACATTATTTCTTACTTTGCCCCCATTTCCTTGACTTTGAAACATCAAACAGGCATTGACATTGTGTAGCAGATGAAAATGAACCATTAATTAACCTTATGTAACTATGGCTGTTGATTTATACTATTTCACATGTCCATATATTTCAAAGACTACAACCAAAAACTCGATGAAAAGAAGAGAGACGGGTGGATATGAATGGCGAGAAAAAATATGTCTTGACTCTTGAGGCTGCAGCTATTCATAGGCACCGGGACTTTCGAAGAGGTAAGCTTCAACAACCTTGTACATGCCCATTGCTCTTTCTTTGCCACCCCTGATTTCTTCCTCATTGATCTCAAAGTCACCAGCAGCCTGGTACTCACTCATCATCTTGCAAGTACAACCACCATTAGGAGAAGCCTCAAACCTCACCTCATAAGCAATAGACTTAATCTTGTCCTCCAACACATCTCCTTCAATCAGTGTGTACTTGCACACCAAATTCTCAACGTCCAGGATGTCTATTCTGTTCTTCATGTACTTGTAACGAGTACCTGCATCTGCATATCATGCATATGTGATTGAATTAAACATGACAGAGAGAAATGTGATTGATGATTTTAAATAAAGTCGACATGTGTGGTTAATTTATTAATTACCCTCAGCAAAATTGATCTGCTTGATGCTTCCTTCGCCTCCATCACCATGGATGATTTCGATACTCTTAATGGCCTGAGGCATGAGCTTGGGGATGAGGTTGTGGGAGTCTAGGATCAAGGCCTTGAACAACCTGGCCGCTGCTACTGGACTGGCAAATTCCTGGCTTAAACTGATGGCCGCCATGTTATCTAATCTCTTGCTTGCTGATATGAAAATGATGAGACTTGAGAGGTGAGGTTGGTTGGGGTTGAGAATTGGCTGGCTCAATGGGGGGAAGTCTATGTCAAACTTTATAGATTGGAATATGTCATGATCACACACACTAAATTCACCATATCCTGTGGCCTCCAAAAATGAATTAACCTTACCTACTATAAGTCGTGGATTTGGAACACAAAATTTGACCACAGAGAGATTCTTTTGGGTATATCACTATAAGGTTATGAATTATCTAATCATAATTTTGCATGTGAACGATATGAAACTTTCTCTGCTTCAAAAAGATATCTCTATTATTGTTGCTGTTACAATCATCAACGTTTAATTTATTTAAGAATCAACCAACTCTTCTTGTCCTTAGTTGATAGATTATAGATAGTAAAAGAAGCATCTAAATCATTTTTTTATTTATTTAAAAAACTTAACGCACCAACTTGCTTAGATAGATATCAGATAAAAGAATTGATCTTTGTTCAATGTTAGTGTAATTAATTAAGCGTTTTGGTTTGCTTGGTCATTGTTAATACAATAACTGGATCCATAAAATTTGTACAAGGAAAGTTTTATAAATTTATAAACAGAATTATCTGTCATCCAAACCAAGTCTGGCAGTATTTATCTACAGAACTCACTCTTAAATTTACAAGCAACTGGATTTATTGCTGCACTTAACTGTATATAAAACTTACAATATTTTTCTTTTTCGGAATAAAAAATGAAGAAAATAGTAAAATCTCTCTCTCTCTCTCTCTCTCTCTGTAACAAAATCAAAGAAATCACTACGAAAAAAAAATTGAATCACTCTCTCTCAACGTGTTAAGTTAACACCTCTACTTTCTATTCCCAGCTTTGCGTTTCATCTCGGCTGGAGCTGGCTGCCTTGCAATCCTATGTGGCACCCCATTCAAAGGTTTCCGTGAAGGTGAAGGGCCTAGAGAAGAAGGATTAAAGCTCTTGCTGCAGAAATCATTAGCAAGTTTTTAGGAAGCTGATTATATAAACTCACTACACCACATGTAAAAATGCGTAACACAGAAGGCCAAGTTCAAAATTTACCTTAGTTCTGGGCTTTTCACTTGCTTTGCATTAGATTTCTTGGTCTTTGACCCAATGCCATTGCCCATGTTAGTAAGTTTAGTCTGATTGAACTGCCAGAGCAAATCTGGCTCTGAAGAGTCACTGGTGGCAGCATCAAGATCATCCATGTCATCCGTACTAGCGACATTGAACCCATTGCTTCCCATGAACATATTGTACGACTGTTCTGGATAAACCTTGGAAGAATCCTGGAGATATTTCTGGTAGAAAACATCAGATAAATTCCCATTGTCTGCTCCCCAGCATCCTAAAGGATTTCCAGCTCTGCTTGCTGCTTCTTGCTTGTTCACCATAACCTTATCCACCCACTCACCCGAGCCCATGTCTTTATCATCCTCCCTATAATTCTGGCTAGGACTTTCAACTGGGGGCCAGGGAGGTGAATTCGCTAGTAGCTCATCAAGATCAAAGCTTTCCCTTTTTTGCCTTGAGGACGAATTGTTCTGGGGCTACAAAACCAGTACATCAAACAACAACGCTAAGTTCACAACACTAGAACATACTAATTGAATGGTTGCTAAAATTAATCTAGAGCAAGGGACTAGAAATTCAAATGTCTCTTGGTATCCAAGAGCTATATAAGGCATCAAACTCAAATTTTGGCAAGAAATCTACTGACAGTTCTAAAATGATGGCTTCCTTCCGAATCACAACCAAAAAGTAAAATTTACCTCAGTGTTCACTACATTGCCCATTGGTTGCCGGCAGCCAATCTGATTGCCTAGCATGTCTGTACCCTGATGTTTGGAATGAAAAGGTGACAATTCACTAGCTTTTGTCCTATATTTATCGGAGCCGCCAGAGGCTGGGCGTTTATTGTGTTCATCTTCCTCCTCTTTCCTGGCTAGTACTGCCTTAAGACCAGCAATCTGATCACAAAAAGTTCAACAATGCAAAGTAAGAATTGATTCTTAAGCTAACTATCTGGAAGAACCATACAAGTGACAGTCTGAGAGACAATGTAAAAACCTGTTCTTTGAGTGCTTTGACATCCGTACTATCTTTGTTTACCCGGGCAGCACCAAGTTCAACTGTGGCTACTCGCTCTGCAAATTTAAGAGTACTTATTGTTTCACCAACAGCATCTGGCTCAGGACTTATGTGAACAAACATAAGTGTCTTGGCTTGTCCACCTAAAATATGATTACAAACAAAGAGTTGTAATCAAATTTTCTTGGATAATCTAAGGCTAAAGACAGAATGTATACCCATTCTCAAGAAGGCATGTGGTTGTTAAACTTACCAAGTGAATCTTGGAGCAGCTGTGTTAGTTTGCTGTTTCTATAAGGGACATGTGAGTTCTTTTGGGCAAGGGAAGCAATCACATCACCTAAAGCCGAGAGTGACTTGTTAATATGTTGAGCTTCTTTTAATCTATCCCCGGTCACCTCAGATTTGTCTACCCTCTCACTCCCTGCAAGATCAACCAGATGCATACAGCCACGAAGAATAGCTCCAGATGTCAAATCCCTTCCTTGAACATGAACAGTCAAGCAACTGCAGATTGATAAAAGTTAGAGTTGGCTAATTCCCATTTAAGTATTCATACAAACTTGGCACCACAGAAGACTAGATTCCTACCTGTGAGACCGACTACTACGGTCGTTTAGGGCAGTTGCACCCACAACACGATTTCTTTGTCCAAGGTTCATCAGATCAATAACATCAGATGTTGATGAGACACGAATAAGATTTGCATCTGGCACGCTGAGACCTGTCTGAGAACTATTACGAATTTCTAATGTAACAACCAGTTAAGAAAAGCCTGGAAATTATAGCTAAACAAGCACATTTTCATCTTTATTTTGACCCATACTGAAAATTACGTATGTTTAAAATCCAATGATATAGTACAGCTAAACAAATTTATTTTAAAAAAAGTAACAAACTGATGTTCAAAAGATATCTTGAGTTTTCTATTTGTCTTTTGCTAAGTAACTAATGTCAAGTTTCTTGACCTCATTAAGAAAAAACTAAATTAAGCAGTAAATTAGTAAAGGATATCTTTTGTTAGTTCCATCAGTAACAAGAAGATCTCGGACTTGCTCATTATAGATCTCAATCATCTGAACAGAAACATCATAGTTGAAAGTGTCCTTTCTTTGATCTGCTATCAAAAACAAGTCTCCCAATGCCCTATAATTTACACCTTGGCTTTTCTCTGTAAGCTCTCTGGGTCCAGTCTAATCATGCAAGTACCAAAAATCAACGATAGTATGCATGCATTAATCAATCAAGCAACAATTTACATAAAATAGCATGTATTCAGAGATAGAGAGCATATATTACCATAGTGTAAGTTTTCCCTGATCCTGTTTGGCCATATGCAAAAATACAAACATTGTAACCATCAAGGACAGACCGAATCAGTGGGTGCATATCAGAGAAAACATCCGCTGCAATAAAATAGAACAAAATATTGTTATAAATATAAGCTTAATGTTAAGATAATAAAACTCTGAAGATTGTTTTTCTCCAAAAAAACCTTCTTAATAAAAACCATACCAACCTTGGGTTGCAGCTGGCCCAAAGACTTTGTTAAAGTTGAAGGACCTACGTCCTTTCCCGTGTCTTGAGGGGATGTTAATAGTGATATTTCCATCTTCTATGTGATCCACAGTGCTCATATAGTTTGATAGTCCAGATAAGAAAGGTCTCACTCGACAATAAACCCTGATACTTCCTAATCAACACAACAAAGAACTAATTAACCATTTTGAGGACTAGCATTATTTAGGCATGTGTGAAACTTAAAGTATAGACAACTAATGATCTTATTACCTTTGAGGTCTTGGACTTGATTGTAAAGCTTTCGGTTTTCCTCAAGAACTCTGTGATACCCACCCGCAGCATGAGCTAGGCTGTGAATATGCAAACCTATGGAAGCAAAAACTTGAATTAGAAAAAGAGATACCAACCCCAAAGGGAAGAAAAGGCAACCAAAAGCAACAAGTAGTTTTTTTTTATGAGTTTATACCAATATTGTTGAACTCCTCATGGAACTTCATTTTCATAAACTGAATACCAGATTTTGTAGTGTGAAGAGTTTGCTTTAGTTCCTGCAAAATTTACATATGGAAATGGCATAAATATGTGAACCAATAACAAAATAAAATTATGGAGACTACTTCACAGCTGAAACCCACCTGAACATCTCTTTGTTGTCGATCGAAGATCATTTGCTGCTTAAGCAGCCGACCTTTTGATTCCTCTTCAGAGATGTGACTTTTATTGAACGAGGTTTTGTCTTCCATCTAATTATTATTGCAAAAGACACAAATATATGAGTTTTAATCTAGTTATAGATGTTGACGTTAAAATATGAGTTTCACTTGCTGTTCAAAAGGTAAAGCACAATAGTTACCATTTTGTCACCAGAAGCGAATTTCATAGAAGGCTTTTTGCTGTGAGAAACAGCCGCATCTTTCGGAGTTGTTTTTGTCTGTAAGATATATTAATAGGTACATGTTTAGGTTTAAATTAAAATGACAAGGAACAAACAGTATATAAATCTAATAGCTCATGTTTCCAACGTAAAAATTCTTGGATGCCTCAGTTTCTGATATTAGGTTTTGTCTAACACATGCAAACATATAAATGATGACCCTAGTCATGTTGAACAGGTGAAAGTCTCCTAATAATGTTTTTATATAAAAAAAAAAGGTAATAGATTTTAATGAGAAAGACTGGCATACCAATTCATATTGGCTGGCAATACGTTGCTCAAATTCCTCCACGAGCTTGCTTAGCACAGACTCTACCACCTGTTGCAGCCAGAAGGATAAAATAACCAATTAAGTAGGAGCAGAAATGTTAGAAGATAAAGTTGACAGTGATTAATAGTAATTTATGGGTGGTGGTATCACTGAATCAACAATTGCCCCCTTTTTCATGCAAGTTAAAAACGCAATTGGGTGGTCAAACACAAGCCAGTTAGGATTGTGAACAAAAAAATTCAAGTAGCAGATATGACTGGTACAGATGAAAGACTGTTTCGCCAACTTCATTAGAAAATAGCTATGC